GGGGAAGGGGGGGGGGCGGGAGAATATAAACAGGCTTAAGACCAAAACCACAATTTCTTTTTTTGATTTTGTTTTTTTCCTTTTTTATCGCAAACAGTATAGTACAATGCAGAACACCTGAAGTCAGGCTCCGAGTCGGTTTTTTCCGGTCCACCCTTGCTCTGAGTGGCTGTCAGGGCTCACAGAGGGGCTGGCCCAAAGGAGAACTGGGGAGGGGGGCGGGTGGTAGGAGAGGTTGGTTATTTCTGAAACCCAGGGAGGGTGGGGGAAGGAAAAACTTTGGTCCTTGGCTGGGGTTGGAGTCGGTCTAGAGGGAAACCGGGGGGGGGAACGACGACCAGGAAACGTGTGAGAACGATGTCGCCATCTAGTGGCTGCAGCTCACACAGCGGATGCGATTCCCAGCACAGCGAGGGGAGAGATTCGTCTTTAAGGTGGCTCCCGGGGGAAATGGGTGGGGGGATCCGTGGGCGTCTGGGTTACCCTAGGAGGAACGTGGGGGCAACCAGGGCTGAGCAGGGGAAGGGTTTGTGTCTCTGGGTAGGGGCCGGCTCACTCGCTAGGGAAACTGGCTCGGTTCGGGGGGAAGCTCTCTGTATGTAGGATGTCTGTCTGTCTATGGGATCGCCACATGGGTCTGTCTGTCTACTGGACCTGGCTACGGGATCACCGCGTGTCCGTCTGTCTGGGGGATCTCTCTGAGGGACTGCCACATGTCTGTGATATCGGTCCGTGGGACTGCTGTGTCCATCTGTCTGGGGGATCTCTCTGAGGGACTGCCGCGTGTCTGTGGGATCTGTCTGTGGGATCGCCCTGTCCGTCCGTCTGGGGGATCTCTCTGAGGGACTGCCGCGTATTTGTGGGATCCAACCATGGGATCGCCGCGTCCATCCGTCCATGAGATCGCTGTGTCCATCTGTCTCTCTCTCTCTAGGTTCTGCCCGTCTGTCTGTGGGACCCGTCCGTCTCTCAGCTCCGTCTGACCTTCCCAATACTCCCCCCTCTGCCCCACCCCGTAGCAGCAGCGGTTAAGCCCAACGTGCCTGGTGGGATTTTCGCTCTAATATTTAAACTTTCTTTCTTTTAAACCTGAGGCATTTTCCATAAAAACATCCGCTGAAAATGAACCAAGACAGAGCCAGGCTGGACCCAGGGACCCACGCCCCCGATCCTGGGGAGGGAGGGAGGGTTATCCAAGCCCCGGCCCCGCCAGGAGGAAAGGCCGGGAAGTGGCCCAGACACCTGGGTCCGCATGGAGTGTGTGACGCTCGAAGGAACAGGGAGAACTGGACAGGAACGGGGAGTCACTGATGGGGGGGGCGCTATGGGGGAACTCCCCCCGCTCCAGATTCCTCTTAACCCTTTACAGCCAGCATCCCAACTGATGGGGGGGGGCACGCCCCAAAAGAGACCCAGCCTTGAGGATCCCCCATCAAGCCCCACAGACATCCCCCACCACCAGCTCTACGCTGCCCCCCAGCACCAACAGATCGCCGCCCCCTGGGAGAGGATGCCCCAGGGGATTGGGGGGGGATGACCCCCCGACATTTCCTTGGCCTTTAAACACTGAACAGAAACAAAAATGGGGGAGGGGCGGGAAATACCTTTTTCTTTGCGTCTTTCGCCTCCGACGACAGAACCTACAGCTACGATTCAAGTAACGCGTTAGCCGGGGGGTGCGGGGGGAAGGTTTCAAGTATCAAAAGAAAGGTCGCCTGCCCCGCCCCCCAACCTCCCAGATGCGCAGAGGGACGGCTGCCCCCCAACAGCTGCCCCACAGAGAGAGGATGCCACCCTCCCCCTCCCCCAGCTGCCCAAATCTGGGCCTGGGGGGGGAGGGGGGGTCTCCCCACTGCCAGCCCGCCCCACCACACCCCTCAAACCAAAGTGGAACTGATCATGTGCACCCCATATGGGGGGGGGGGTCTGATGGGCCTGACACCCCTCTCCTTGGGGCCCGGACCAGGGTGCCCCACCCCCTCCCCTGATCCACAGGTAGAACCGCTGCCCTGCCGCGCAAAGCCACGCCCCCTTCCCCCAAGTGGGAGGAGCCAGGGGGAAGCGTAACCATTTCGAAAAAGGAGGTTCAAGTTTTGGGGCCGGAGAGGGGGATCCGTGCCCCCTCCCCACTCAAGCTGAAGGGGGAGGGGCATTAGGAGGGCCCCCCACCCCGGGAGGAAATCCAGACGCTGCCCCCGCAAGTGGTTATTTAAAGCTGGTGGATCTGAGGGGGGGGCAGGGCATCGGGCATGGGCGGGGCTGCCCCCAGGGAGTGCGAGAGTGTGTGGGGGTGGGGATAAACCATCAGTGCTAGAGCCCCCCCCCCACAGAGGTGGTGCGGTGGTGGTTGGGGGGGTGCCCAGATCCAGTAGCCACACACTTGGCAACGGATACAACCAATTCCAAAGGCAGCACGCTGAGGAGCTGGGGGGGGGGGCGCGATTTTTTAAAGGGGGGAGGAGATGTGCCCACCAGTACCAGTGCACCCCTCCCCCCGGAATCCTGGCTTCCACAGCCTCCCCCCAGGGGCAGTACCAACTCCAATCAGCCCCCCCCAGACACCCCCAAATGGGATCCCCTCCCAAATCAGAGATGGGTGGAGAGCGGGTCCCCCTTGGCTCCCTCCCTGCCCCGGAAGGCCCCCGGCCCCCCCATGATTCAGTGCATGGCTTTAGTAAAAGGTCTCTCTTCAAGTCTCTGGCGCAGCCTGGCCCCGCCCGGCTATTAGCTGTCTTTGATCAGCAATTTCTCCTCGGGGCAGCGGAAGGGGGGCCCGGCTGGCGGGGGGCCGGGGGCCCGGAGTCCTCGCAGAAGCGGGCGCAGCCCTCGGGGGTGACGTGGCGGCAGGAGCGCAGATCGATGCGGGAGAGGCGCGGGCAGCGTCGGAAGAGAGGCAGACACTGGTCCGTCAGGCGGTTACACCCTGCGGGGAGAGGGAAGGAGAATGAGACCCAGGGCCTTGGCCCTCTAGGGGGCGCCAGATCCAATTAAGTCCGTAATAGTACGTGTGTCCATCAGACAGTCCCGGGCTGGGCTAGCAGGGGCTGCAGGTCAGGAATGTGGGGCCCCGGCAGAGCGTGGGGGGGGGGGGCAGGGGGGTGGGGGGAGGGAGTGAGGTGCACCGGCAGAGCTGGGGGGGGACAGGGCTGGGCTAGCAGGGGCTGCGGGTCAGGAATGTGGGGCCCCGGCAGCGCTGGGGGG